ATTGGGGCAGACTTGTATACTCTTACTAAGAATGGGAGTTTTGTGGGAAAGGGATATGCATGTAATGGGATGTTCAAGTTGAATGTCGAAATTAATAAGATGAATTCTTCAGTTTACATGGTGTGTGATTTGAATGTTTGGCATGCTCGTCTTTGTCATGTGAACACACGAATTGTGAAGAATTTAAGCAAGCTAGGACATATCCCTAAACTCTCAATGAATGAATTTGATAAATGTGATTTCTGTAGCCAAGCTAAAATAACGAAAACGCCCCATAAATCTGTGAGTAGAGAATCAGAACCCTTAGATCTGATTCATTCTGATATTTGTGAACTAGATGGGACGTTAACTAGGTCTGGCAAGAGATACTTTATCACTTTCATAGATGATTGCTCTGATTATTGCTTTGTTTATTTGATGAAAAACAAAAGTGAAGCCCTTGACATGTTCAAGGTATTTGTGGTTGAATTCGAAAATCAGTGCAATCGAAAGATAAAAAGACTTAGGAGCGATAGAGGATCAGAGTATGACTCTAATCCCTTCAAGGAATTCTATAGCTCACATGGTATCATTCATGAAACCACGGCACCATATTCACCAGAAATGAATGGTAAAGCTGAGCGGAAAAATAGGACATTTACAGAATTAATTGTGGCTATTATGCTCAATTCTGGAGCTGCTTCTTCTTGGTGGGGTGATATTTTGTTGACGGTTTGCTATGTGCTAAATCGTCTTCCAAAAACATATAGAAAAGAATCACCCTATGAGATCTTGAAGAATAAGCCACCTAATCTGTCCTATTTAAGAACGTGGGGCTGTTTGGCCTACGTAAGAATTCCTGATCCTAAGAGGGTTAAGTTGGCTAGTCGAGCATATGAATGTGTCTTCGTTGGCTATGCGGCCAATAGTAAGGCATATAGATTCTATGATTTGAATGCTCGTACAGTAATAGAATCCATTGATGCTGATTTCTTTGAGACACGATTTCCATTTAAAACGAGAAATAGTGGGGGTAATGTACTACCCGCTATTAGAGATAACGGAACAAGTGGGGGTGTTGGATATGAGGATGAACTCAGAAGAAGTAAAAGAGCTAGAATCTCTAAAGATTTTGGTGATGACTTTACTACAGTATACACCCTAGAGGATCCAAAAAGTTTGCAGGAAGCATTAACTTCCATAGATGCAGACTTTTGGAATGAGGTCGTTATAGATGAAATGGAATCGTTAGAGGCTAATAAGACTTGGCATCTAACAGACTTACCTCCTGGCTGCAAAGTCTTAGGTAATAAATGGGTTCTAAAAACGAAACGGAAACCTGATGGTGCAATCGAAAGGTTCCGAGCTCGCCTAGTAGTCAAGGGCTACAGGCAGAGAGAGAATATAGATTTCTTCGACACCTATTCACCAGTATCTAGAATAACATCCATTCGTGTCATGATTGCTCTTGCTGCCTTGAACAATCTCGTGGTACACCAAATGGATGTTAAGACTGCTTTTTTGAACGGTGATCTAGATGAAGAAATCTATATGGAACAACCAGAAGGGTTTGTTATCCCTGAACATGCCTCGAAAGTCTGTAAGTTGGACAAATCATTATATGGTTTGAAACAGGCTCCAAAACAGTGGCATGAGAAGTTTGACACTCTCGTTCTCTCACATGGCTTTAAGGTGAATGAAAGTGACAAGTGTATTTACTGCAAGTCAGAGAATAACACTTGCACTATCATATGTTTGTATGTAGATGACATGTTGATATTTGGTACAAATATTCACGTGGTCAATGAAGCGAAAGCCATGTTAAAAGAGAGCTTTGAGGTGAAAGATCTGGGAGAAGCAAAGTTTATGCTTGGAATCCAGATAACTAGAACAGCAAATGGTTATTCTCTAGATCAATCTAGTTACATAGAGAAGATCTTGAAGAAGTATAACTATTTCGACTGTAAACCTGCGTGTACTCCATATGATGCTAGTGTAAAGCTATTCAAGAACACTAGAGACAGTGTAAGACAAACAGAATATGCTAGCATCATTGGCAGTCTCCGTTATGCTGCGGATTACACTCGACCAGACATTGCATATGTCGTGGGATTGCTTGGCAGGTTTAACAGCTGTCCTAGTAGAGAGCATTGGAATGCTATAGAGAGGGTCATGAGATACCTCAAGAGAACAGCAAACCTTGGTATACACTATCAAAGGTTTCCCGCTGTACTAGAAGGGTATAGTGATGCGGATTGGAATACCCTATCAGATGACTCCAAGGCAACCAGCGGATATGTTTTTAACATCGCTGGTGGAGCTGTGTCTTGGAAGTCAAAGAAACAAACAATCCTAGCTCAATCAACTATGGAATCAGAGATGATAGCACTAGCAACGGCTAGTGAAGAAGCAAGTTGGTTGAGAGGATTGTTGTCAGAGATTCCCCTATGGGAAAGCCCGGTCCCTCCGGTATTGATACATTGTGATAGTACCGCAGCTATCGCTAAAGTTGAGAACCGGTTCTATAACGGAAAGAAACGACAGATTCGTCGTAAGCACAGTACTGTTAGAGAACTCCTAACGATAGGAGCAGTGAGGGTGGATCATATAAGATCCGAACAGAATCTAGCTGATCCTTTGACGAAAGGATTACCTAGAGAGAAAGTCCAGAATACCGCCAAGGGTATGGGACTTATGCCTACCGAACCACGGACTACAAGTGATGGTAACCCGACCCAATAGACTGGAGATCCCAAGAAATGGGTTCAATGGGTAATAACAAGTCATGAGTAGTATGCGAAAAGTTCATGCATAATGAAGCATGAATCCCAAAGCAATGGAGGTTGAGTTAATAACTCTTAATGAGATCTATACCCTATGTGGGGTGGAGTACTTTACTTTGGGGGTACTCCTGATAGACTCACCTATGTGAATGTGGGAGTGGGGCCGCTCCCTATGGAACTTTGAGAGGCACAAAGTTGCTAGAGCGTTCACTAAACCAGGATAACGTGCATGGCCATAAACGCACGGGATAAGAAGAGAACACAACTCAATGAAAAGATCCGGTGTGCTACACTGTCTGAGATAGGGTTCAAGACTACGAGTCACCCTTATGAAATCGGAAGTGTAACCACTACGCTAAGGTTCAAATCTTCGCGATACCTTAGCTTATGCCCGATCTTATGGAACTGTTAATGCTCAGAGATAGTTTCAAAACTATTCAAGTGGGGGATTGTTGGAAATGTGTATGAATAGCTTTGAAAGCTATAGAGTCTCAAGTGGAAAAACTACCACATTGGTAGTTTTACTTGGTGAAATGAGTATAAAGATAGGAGCCTCTCTCCTAAGGGCATGCCCCTTGGGGTGACCACTTTTGTGGGAGAGGGAGGACCTAACGGACCACCACACGCGCGCGCGCGCCGTCCGTCCGTCCGTCCGACCGACCGACCGGTTGGATGGATGGATGGATGGCTTGAGACTATATACATATTTTTGGAGAAATTCCGAAGGAAATTAATTATTTAATAATTAATTATTAATCGGTTACTCTGAGGAATATTCCAAGGGATAATCGATTGAAAAGGAATATTCGAAGGATAATCTCCGCAGGATTTATCCTAACCGACGGTTTTAATTAAGGAAGTAATTATCTTCCTTAATTAATCCGACTTATTCCCCAAGCAAGAGGGTATATTCCTAGGGGTTCGGCTCCTATAAATAGCCGCCTCCCCAGCCCCTCTAAAGACACCACAACGAGCATAAACACAATAGAGAGAGTGAGTACACAGAGGAGCTGTTTTATCCTGGAGACGACCGGTTGATAGTCTGACGTGCGCATCGAGGGCAGTGCCGCGAACGTCTTAAAGAGAGCGACCTAGTCCGCGACTCAGCTCCAGATTCGGTATCCTCGGTCTTCTTGTTGTTCCGTTTCTAACAGCCATCATATATGGATCTCTCTTGGTGTATGCAATGGTGGTCAACCACTATGAGCTATATGGTTTGCGAGAAAGCAAAGCAAGGATAAGGAAGGAAAGAGCTCTTGAAGGTGGAGCCCCAATTTCAAAGAGGTCACACACTCACGGGCAATGTAGTCAAAAGCGAGTTTCTACGTAGAAACGTTTTGGTGATCTAGAAGCGTAAAATCGTAAGTTTTTAAGTTTTAAAGCGGAGTTTTTAACTACACAAGTTATAAAAACTGAGTTTTTGTGTAGAAGCGTTTTAGCGACCTAGAAACGTAAAATCGTAAGTTTTTAAGTTTTAAAGCGCGATTTTGACTACATTGCTCACGGGAACTTCAATTTTAAAGAGATCTTGGGATGGGCCGAGACTTGAATGCAACCGTCTAGCTTATGGCGGTAAAAAAACTAGGGGTGAAAGCTTGTCCCGGAAGACCCACTGACCCGTCCCGTCCCTAAGGGTCGGGACGGGTCAGTTTGTCTACAGGGACAGATCAGGGACGGGTCATTTGTTGACCCTGTAAGGGTCGGGACGGGTCGGGACAACTTAGGGACGGGTCACGTTTTGACCCTGTGACCCTTAGCAAGAACAAATATCTCATACTTCATTGCGCCTTTTAGTAAAGTCTTAAAAGTTTAGGTACTAATTGTAAAAATAAAAAAATTTGGGTACCAAAATGTATTTTTACCATCAAAATTTATGGACTTATTTGTAAAAAATAAAATTTAGGTACTAAATTGTAAGAAAAAATAATTTTGGGTACCAAAATGTAATTTGTAAAATAGTAGTGTGTTGATTAGGGTCGACCCACTGACCCGGCCCGTCCCGTCCCAACCCTTGAAGGTCAGACAGGGTCAAAAAAGAGACATGGACGGGACGGGACGGGACGGGACGGTTATACATCTTGACCCTTCAGGGACGGGTCAGACAGGGACAGGGACGGGACAGGCAAATTTTCAGCCCTAAAAAAAACCCCTTATTGAGAGACAATCCAACCTCGATTTGATTTATTTTCCCTATACTTTTTTTATTATTTCTAGTTTAGTAGTAATTAATAACTATCTCATGGATGTGTTTCTCCTTATCTTAATGCGTGGCATACCATGTTCCATAAGCCTAAACGAATCTTCATCCGACTTCCTTCAGTTTCTTCACCGATTGAACATAATGATAAACTTGGTTCCATTCACTTACACATTAATTGTCTTGTGCACATTGGAGACAATGTGTGATTTTAAGTGTATGGGTGTTCAGTATACATGTTTACAAATCTTTGCATATGCAATCCATTCAAAATCACAAGATCACTTCCACGAATTGGCACACGCCACGTGCGCCATGTTCGCCAGCACAGCACTATCATCAACCGACGTGGCATTGCTCCTGAACCTCTTCCACAACCCCACCACGACTCTGAGGTCGGCAACCTTCGCGATGATTGTGCGACAGCAGTTGGCGTGGACGGTCGAGACTGCTCGAATGTCGCGGCTTCCCTGACAGAAGCCGCTGAAGTAGAGCGTGTCGAGAAACCTGACCCGAACCCCGAGCCGCTCGCGTATGGACCGGCCTTCCCGGATCATGGCTTGTAGCACATCCTGCTCCTTCAGTCCCGTGGAGTTATCTTTCAAGGAGTACCAAGACCGGAACAGGGAGATGGTCCGGTCGTTGGACCGGACCATGTAGAACCCGGTGTTGATTGGGTTCGACCGGGACCATTGGTTCCCGTCGAACCGGTCCGTGCTGATTTGGAGGTCCGGCGTATTGGTCGTCGTCAGCCTTGGGAATGGGTTCCTCAGCCACAGTACGTCTGTGTCCTGTCATCAAAGTTGATCTTTCATCAATAGCAAAAAATTTGATCTTTCAACGCGGACTTTTCAATATTCAGGCGCATGTAAAATTCCATAACAATATACAACATCAATGGATGTCATGTCACTCAGCTCCATGTGTGTTATGTGTAGTTGCTGTCAAGTTCCATGGAATTATGTATCTGAACAAAATGTGCAATGGAGTCTCTATAATGACTTTCTAAACTTTAATGCATAAAACAGTGACATGCAACTGGAAATTAAGGTGGGTTACATAAAACATTTGATTATACATTTGTGAGATTTAGCCATTTGATTTTACTTATATCGGAGCTAATGGGTGAGATTAAAAATTATATATATTCCTCTCTTTTTTTTAATCGACTTGTAGCTCTCTAATTCAACCCAAATTTTAAGAAAAAATTGCATAGATGCGGAACGATTTCATTGTGATTTACAAATTCGAGAATTTTTTTTCGTTCTACCCATAATTACTACTTATTACCATCCTTTACCACCTTCATTTTTAATAATTGTAACTCAAATCTTGAATTTTTTTTTTGCACAGAAAGAACAGATTCATCGCGATATAGAATTCAATATATTTATGGAGAAAAAAAAAATTGTGACCGAAACTACCAGTCTATATCATAGCGGTAAACGATGCATGGCAGATGGTGGTGGATGATTATTACTATATATATTCATACTATCTTGTTATACACTCTTCATCATGTACTATAGTACATTCGTACTATCGTCGCAAACTTCCATACCACAATGATATAATTTTGTGTACTACTCAGCTTTACCACCATGTTATACGATGGTAAAACATGGCTAATTTTTTTTAAAGAGTATACTTAATCTAATTCTTCCTGGCTAATAAAAACACAGAGAAAAGAAAACTGTTGTTAATTATGGACAGTACCGTAAAGATGAAGTTATATCCACGGGCCAGCACGTCCCCGAGGAACTCGGTCCGCCGCCACATCATCCCGATAAACTCGCGCGACATGAACACCTTCTCCTCTCCGTCACCGGCGGCGGAAGAATTATCCCCGGCGGGAGGAAGGCGAAGGCGGTAGCAATGAAGGTGCAAAAACTTGCATCTATCGTAAGAAATCTCGTCGACGGCGACGAGGAGCAAGTGGTCGAGCAGTTCCCTAGTACCTTCGCCGAGCCAGAACGCGTCCAAAAACAGCTCGAGCATCGTCGGCCAATCCCCTTCCTCCACGTAGGCCTTGTTCACCACCGCGATGATCAACGTCTTGTCCGCCGCCGCAGCCGCCGCCAGCGCCGCCCCCAGCGGGTCGTTGTTGTTGGAAGCGGCGGTTAGTTCGTTGCTTAGTGGTGGTGTGTCGGAGAAGATCAAGAATGAGACGGCGAGAAGGCTGAAGAGGAAAAGGGAGAGTAGTATGGAGATTTGATGAGTAGGGTTATCTTTTAGGCTGTGGTGATTGTAATTCATGGTGCTTTAGCGGTTGATTTGTTGGATTGATATTTCAGGCTTTATACGAGGAGGAAAAAGGAAGCAAAGCTACAAAAGTATGGAAGAGTAATGACGATGATGATGATCACACGAGGTCAGGATATATATTAGGTGTGGTGTTATTGGCGTGTGTACGAACGAACGTGGGTTGACTGACTGATCGAGTTATGTTTAAAAGTTAGGGTTGTTAAACGGTTTATCCTGTTAACGCGTGTAATCGATAATTGTAAGTTAAATGGTTAGACCGACAATCAATTCAATGGTTCGGTTTTTCGGTTGTCAGATTTAGCTAATTGGTAACCGACGCCTAAACGATTAGTAACCGTCTGTTAAACGATTAATCGTATTCGATCATCCTCACAGTTAGGAATGTAAATAATAGGTCTCGATGAGCCGCAGGTATATGCCAGAAAATAATTGTAGGTTTGAAGGCTTATAAGATTTCTTGCCTACCCTATGTAAGAGTGGCTTAAGACCAAATGATAGTAATTTCAGGGAAGAGCTCTAGTTAGAAGGAACTCAGTAGGAATATGGACTTGCGCATAGTAACTCGACAACAATCAACAAAATTTAACCTTCCATGTAACTTGGTGATGTTTATCGGTTGAGTAATTGTTGTTGGGTCTCTCAATTCTTGTATGCTTCGTTAATCAAATTTTATGGTAGAATGGTGTTATTGTGTATGTGTGTTGGATTGAGTTGATTATGCCTTGATATTTATGAGAAATTGTTTTCTATTCATTGACTAAAAGTTAAAAAAGAATACATATATAGGAAAAAATCTACAAAAATGCAAAATTAAAAAAAGGTGGAGTCTTTTGTTGGTTATGTTACCGATCGAGTAGTTTGGTCTAACATTGTCGAATCATTTGCTTAACGGTTAACCGATAAAATAAATAATTACTAACTATACGATAACGATTAACCAACTGATATAAATGATGTTTTTAAGAGTAACAACAAATTGTTTAACGGTTAACTGATAACCTGCTTCCAATGATGGTGGAAGCTCTGGTTCTCCGGGAGGCGATTGGCTGGTGTTTGGCTAATGGATTCACTATCATGAGGTTTGAAGGTGATGCCCAGGTGATAATCGAGAAGATTCTCCGGAAGGATATTCGGGATAATCATATAGGGGTGATTCTGGAGGAGATAGTCAATTCATTTGCTTCAAACTTAGGTTTCTCTGTACGATTTGTAGGTCGTCGCAACAATAGGGTAGCTCATTTGGTAGCTAGAAAAGCCCTGTCTTTGTTCTCGACTGCATGTCGTTCTTTTGATTTCCAGGCCTGGCTGTATTCCAGGATGTAATGATCTATTTGTTTCAATCTAATGATTATCTTTTGAAAAAAAAACCTGCTACTAACAGCTAATAGCGAGGAAAGTAAAAAGAGTATAGTCAATGAACATCCAATTCCTCGCTCGCCAAATTGCCCAAAAAGAGCAACCACCTCCATCAACCCACGCCTAACTAAATCCTTCCTCTCCAATAATCTAGGCCAGAAAATCCCCATGTGTCCCATAGGAATTAGGAAAGGCCTTCCTGGTGGGACTAATTCCCCAACTAATAAGACAAAATTAAAGGGAAAACTAGTTGACGAGGATGGAATTTATCTGAAACAAATATAAAGGAATTGAGTATTTGACTATAGTATTTTCCCCAACAAATATTACAAAATTAAAGGAAAAACTAGGTGATGGTGGACGAATAACGAGGATGGAATTTATGTGGAACTACCGACCGGATAAAAAGCTTTTACTAGGATGGATAATTATCATATGAACATTATTAGTAAAGAATGATGTCCAAGTAAACTGGTAATGAAAATAAATAAAAAATACACTACACTGAAAAGATTATCTGTGAAACTCAAGTATTCTAAGGTCAATTAGCGTGAAGAAACTTGAGCACCATAATCATGTGGTAAGACTATTGCAGGAGAATAATACCAAGTCAAAATACATTATATGTTGTGAATCGAAAAAGATTAGTCTTTGGTGTATTGTATCTAAAGACTCGCCACATGAACCAAAGGCCTGACGGTGGCGGATATTTGAGAGTTATTTTTTTGCTGGCTCGACAGATTTATCATCTTCGCTAGCTCACGGATTGTCGGAATTGGGGTTTTCTGGGTTGGGGAAATCTTTGAGAGAGAGAGAGAGGGGTGAATAGTGAGATTTTTATTTTTTTTAATTATTTGTTAATTTTAAATTTCTCTATCTTTTCCGCTTATTTAATTTGAATTAAGAATATGATATGTCAATGACATGGTATCTATGTGGCTGTCACGTCAACAAAAGTCAACATCAAGTTGATCAATGTCCGGTCAACCGTTATTTACAACGGTCAACGAAATCGCAAGGAAATAAATGACACACAACTATAATACGTTGGGACATTTTCAAAATATTGAATAGGTCTGTATACAAATGGTACTTTTTTATAGTTCGAGTTTCCCAGTGGTATGAACCCTAGATGAAATGAAACAAATATAGGGTCTGGTTCGAAATTAATTACATCAAAAGGAATGGACACGTGATCTAGTACAAATCATGATGACTGTAACTTTACCTAGTAATGTTGGCTAGCCCAAACGTTAGGTTCAAGTAGAAAATAAAATTGTGAATGATGGTCCAACATTGTCAAATTTTGCAAAGTCCGTTCTCATGACGAGACAATGTTCAAAAAATAGGGTAATCAAAAGACAAAAAGGGTTTTTAATGGTTTCTAAGTTTGAAGTTGAAATGCTCAAACAATGCAAGTAGACGCATTGCACGTTTAGAAATATACCTATTTCAATTATAAGTGGAGCTGCTTTAAGAAGAATAAAAGGTCAATTCTCTCAACAATTATGAAATCAGGCGATATTCAGGGCTGAAACTAACACAATAGTGAGAATCAATGAACGAATAATAGTTAGTTATGCCACTTATGTGTCATATATAGTCTTAGTATACAAGAAAAATCGACGGTTCAAAGATATCATATCTACCGAGTGGTGAGTACACTCAATATATATTCACTACGAACAGTTCAAAGGAAAACGAAAAATCTACCTACTTTGATGTAACTAATTCGTACATGAGAGTAACTAAAACATAACATTCTTCATTCACGTGATAGATTTTGGGTTTATGAAGGTGTGGATGAGAATAAAGGGACGAAGAGCGGTCAAAAGCTCGTGTGTACCATACTGGTGAAATATGGGTGTGGGATAGCATAGGGTAATGGTGGCATTGATTCGTTTAATTAAGCGGCCTCATTCAATCCCATGAACGTTACTAGTAATCGTTGATAAACGAACATTTGTGTCCTTTCAACCGCCTACCCTTTTAGTTTCTCTTCGCTTCCTATAAATTCAGTGCCCTCTCATTGTTTGGAGATATGGTTTTCCCTGCATACTATGAGGTTTGCTCTGTATAGAAACTCTGCATAACTTTCTTCATTGTCCTCTCTTTAAACATATAAAAGAAAACCATCGCCGTGTGATTCTTGTCGCTTATTGCGTTCATGGGGATTTCGGAGTTTGCAGTGCTTCTACACCGAAAAGGTGATTCGATCTATCCCGGGAGAAAAATGTTTGATAAATGTTGGGTATCTAGAGATGTGAACTAATTTCATTTTAAAGAATGAAATGTCCATTCTCTTGTGTTGTTGCTGCTCTGATTCTTTGATGCTCTCAATCTTTTAGGGTTTCTAATGTATGTTACTTACCATCACTATATGCATCAGTACGATGTTATCGGTGCTATACATATCGATCAGAGTCTTTTGAATTGTTAAACCAACATGAATCGATACATACGAGTTGTATCCGATTGAATCGTGCAATTTACTAATCCGGAGCAACCATATAAATCGGTTTGACAACGTTACTACCCGCAAGTAATCAAATTGACAACTACACAAATGATTGACGTAACTACCCTTACTAACGTTTGAAAATTGCAAATATGGAATTGGGCGCCGCGTTGTGAGCCGAGATAGGAGTGAGCTCCCAAATCTGTCCGTGGACTTCCCCATTGGGGAAAGAAAGACGGAGCAATAGCGGAAAAACCCCTAATCCCCTCAAACTAAATCCCTAGGTCTTGCCCCCAATCCCGTAGCAGCAGCAGCAACCGGCGGCCGATAATCCGTCGGGAAGAGAAGGCGAGATGGATCAGCCCGGAGATCACGAGTACGACCAGGAGCACGAGGAAGAAGAGGTTTACGGCGGCGAAATCCCTTACGAGGGAGACATGGAAGACGACGTCGACATGTCTGCCAGACCTGAAGAGGACGAGAACGCGGACCGCAGTGCCAAGGTCTGTTGCTAAAAGAATCTCCTCCTCGCTCTCTCTCTCCTTTTTTTATCGCGTTTGCGGGATTTGGGGAGGATTTGAAGTTTGTTTCCGTTCTTGGCGTCGGTGGCTTATTTTTGGTTTTCGTGATTGGGCAGGAATTGGAGGACATGAAGAAGAGGCTGAAGGAGATCGAAGAAGAAGCTGGCGCTCTTCGTGAAATGCAGGCTAAGGTAGAGAAGGAGATGGGCGCTGTGCAAGGTATACATGATTGTATCTTTCTCATATGGGTGTTGAAAACTGTACCTGCTCAGATGGGTTCTCTTTGCAATGTCTGTTCTTCCTGCGTCTTTATGTTGTTATTTTGCTAGAGCTTGTTCCCGAACTTAAGTTTTTTACTCGAATTAGGTTAATCTTGAGCTCTGGGATTGGGAGTGGAGGTAGAAAGGCAGATTTTTTATGTATCAATTTCACTTATGCGTTCTAGTTTTGCATTATGTTTTGGTTTCAATCCTGGGTGTGTTCCGCATTCTTACAAGCTTCTGTTCTTTCGCTGGTTGTGTTTAATCTCTAGATTCTCTTTTCTGTTTGTATTTGTGAAGACTCCTCGGGTACTTCTGCATCTCTGGCCGAAAAGGAGGAAGTTGATGCCCGCTCAATCTATGTTGGCAATGTAAGGTTCACTACACTATTTTCCTGTGATTTTTTTTACGGAATAGCTCTGTGTGTATATCAGTATATCCTTTCCATATTGAAATTTTGGTATGTACCAAGACCTGAGCTTAACAATCTGGTCTGACATGTATTGTTTGTTTCTGTTGGTTGTTTCCTCCTACAGGTGGATTATGCTTGCACTCCGGAAGAAGTTCAGCAGCATTTTCAGTCTTGCGGAACTGTCAATAGAGTGACAATTTTGACAGACAAGTTTGGTCAGCCTAAGGGATTTGCTTATGTCGAATTTGTGGAAGTGGATGCTGTGCAGAATGCCCTCCTGCTAAATGAATCTGAACTGCATGGCCGTCAATTAAAGGTCCTCTTGGAAGTTTCTTCATGTTGTCAATTGAGTAGTTAATCTGCTTCTTTTATGGTTCTCATTTCTTTGTATTACGTTCAGGTCTCTGCTAAGAGAACAAATGTTCCTGGCATGAAGCAGTTCCGTGGAAGGCGGCCCAACCCATATTTTAGATTTCGAAGGCCTTTCATGCCTGTTCCCTTCTATCAACCATATGGAGGGTACGGGTGAGTGTTGCGTTGTCACTATTCCTTTACTGATGCACAAATCTGCTACTTACTCTTTTACGTGATTTCTATAAATCTAAGTCAAGCACCCTCATTGTTGGTTTGAGGCAAGCTGTGTCTGGTGCAGCTATTTTAGTGGGTTCCATCTGATTGGCGCCTCCCGCTTTGGCTTATTATCTGTTTTATCCCAGGGGTGATTTATAAGAGAAGATAATTTGGTACTAGAAAGTCCTGTGATATTTTTTCCTGGTAAATTGGGTCCTGTGAATTTATGCTAGCTACTTTAAGTCTCATAGTGATCGTGAGAAGTAGAAAAAGCCATCCACAAATAGACATTAATCTGTGTTTATGTTCTACCAGCCATAAGTTTTGATCATACACCACTTATTTTCTGTGGTAGGGTACATTTAACTGGGTCTGCCAATTGACCGTACTAGGAAATTAGTTAGTTTAGGAATTGGTGTTCCTTTTCCGAGGCGACTTTCAGGTTTACAGTTAGGCGTCTACATATATGAGATGCTTCTTTGTTTCGCTTGTTAACCTTTCATTGTGAACATTTCAAGTTTAACCCCCTGTATCCTGTCTTCGTTACTTTCATTATATCTTTCACTGTTCGCTATGGGGAAGTTTACTGAAACAAAAATGCAATCTTGACAGGAGGGTTCCCAGATTCAGGCGGCCAACGCGATACAGACCATACTGATGGCTTGGACACCGGCAGTAGTCGAGGCCATGCTTGCGAGAGAAGAAAAAACAGTCGATGATTCTGTAATTGTCCTTCAGAAACCATTTTATATCACTGGAGCTCGCATGGACGGATAAAAAGGATTTTGCATTCATAATTTGAGGTAGGGAATGACCCCATCTTCTCTCCTCCTATTGATATAATGTTAGCCTGGGGAGGAGATCAAAGTGTGATCAATCTATCTCCTTGTGCTTGGAGAGAGGGCTTAGTTTGGAAGTGACAGGAAGCGGTAGAGTAATGTTTGTGACCATTTCTTATGTTTCTGTTTAGAGGATTCTTAATGAGTTTGGATATTGGATTGTTGTTAACATTTTATTGCTTTATACTCCACAGCCTTCCTCTTTTCTGCATATAGTCGTAGACCGCGTACGGATCCGGCGCAAACGGCACCGTTTGGATATTGATAGATCTTGTAGGGTTTGCAAACGGCACCGTATGCTTCTGAAGTTAATAAGATTTGTAAGGTTGGAGGGAAAAAAATGTGTTTTGACTTTTGAGAAACTAAAAATGGACATTTGGCAATTTGGGAAGTTAAATTTATCTTGTTGGATTGGAGTTAGTCTAATTTTGGAATTTGTGAAAAAATTGTATCAGATCATACTTCTTTCTCACTCATTGTTTCTCTTTCCTTCTAGATTTAATTTTTAGCCCTTAATTTTTAACGGACCAAATTTCTTACGTTTTAACTCGGACATTAAATATTTTTGCATAGAAAAATAAAATTTATTATTATTTATAAGGTTATAGGGATATTGATGTACTTTTGAGAAAAAAGAAAAAATCACATGACAAAAAACTTGTTTTTGCCAAACCCATGGATGATATAATTCCAATTATGATCTTCAAGATTGTTGTCATGCTGAAACTTACTACATTTGTGGACGTGCATACGTTAGGAATCGTTGTATCATTCGTCTATGTCACTTTCCTGTTACAACTAATAATTCTTATTTAGTTTCTCCTTATCCTTAAAAATGATTTTATGGATTACCATGAAGAAGAAAATGAGACTTTCATCATCATTGTAAGCTACTAAGCTGTGCGCACAATTTTCCACGAGCTGTAACGGGAAAACACAACGAATTCATAAAAAGGTTGGTCAATAGCTCTGATAGGTGGAGTGTAAAACGGATATGTGCAATAAGTTGTTGGCGTAAGCAGGTGTTTAAACGTGGATCACACATTCTGCCATTAATAAGTATTGAATGTATGTCGTGATAATTATAACGTGTAAAAATAGTAGATTACAAAAGTACAAATGTACAATGCACCGATTTAAGCACATGTTTACATAAAATCCTATATGCACACTAATAATAGATTTGGACTGTAAAATGAAGTTAGTTAGCAATCTTTCCTTTTTCCAATTTTATCGGATGCCCCGAAAGGACGTTAGCTTTTCTTCTTTTGTTTTCTTAGTTATAGAAGAAGAAAAAAGTGAGTAAATAATGAGTGAGTAAAAAATTAGCATCTAAGCAGCACCTCAACTATTCCTTTTGTTATCAATCTGACTAGGCATTTAAGTAATTTAGGAAAGCTTATCTCTTAATTAGTACGCGTTTTAATTAGCTTACTTCTTCAATATTTATGTAGGATTGTGAAATCATAACGGAGGTTGTATAAAAAAAAAGTCAGAATGATAGTATTTTACTATTTTTTACTATAATTGTAATTTAACCATAGTTCGATTGTTACTTACGGTTAAAATAAATGACTAATTTGAGTCCGATATTAGAATTTCCTGTCCAATCGGCGAGTACGATACAGTTTCTACAGCATTTGTTTTTAGACGCCTAGACTTCTGAAAATCTTATGGCCAGCTTGCTTGCTGTTTTGCTGATTCATTTCGCATTCAAAATCTTCCCTTCTTTAATTAATCTCAATCTGCTCTCCTCTCCCAATCTAATCTCCGCATCCTTTGGCACACCATATAAATAATCAGACCCTTCTCTTCTCTTCCCAGTCCCCCACCATCAAATCTCGTCACCCGTTTGTCATTTCTCCTTTTCGCTTTTCTTCTGTTTGATTGTCAGCGCCAGTAACAGACTTCCCTGATTTTTGCGTGTTGATCCATCCTTTCTGATCTGGGCCCATTTTTCTCTTCGTTCCAGCATCTGGGTAGTCGTCCGATTTTGATATTAGGAAGAAAAAAAAGAAAAAAACTAAGCAGAGCCATGAATGCTCTTGCGGCCACCAACCGTAATTTCAGAGCTGCAGCCAGGATTCTTGGTTTGGACTCCAAGGTGGAGAAGAGTCTTCTGATCCCCTTCAGGGAGATCAAGGTGCGGGACTTTTTTTTATTATTGTAGTGCGATCTCATCCTTCATCTTTGATTCTGATATTGAATCTTCTTCCCGTCGCTGTCGGGTGTTGAATCCCGCAAAATGAAGTGTGTTTTGTTTGGGGATTTCAATCGCAGGTGGAGTGCACAATCCCGAAAGATGATGGGACTCTGGTGTCCTACATTGGCTTCAGAGTGCAGCATGACAATTCTAGAGGACCCATGAAGGGAGGAATCCGATATCATCCTGAGGTGTGTGCATGAATCTGTTTTCTTCTTTGTAGCAGTTTTCCTTTCTGTCGTTTCTTGTTTCTGTTGTTGTTTCTTTCGATTACGTTCGATGCAGTGACGATTGGCGTTTGTTCTACAATCTGGGGATTCTTGGTTCAGCTTATGTGACTGTTTGGATTCTCAGATTTTGACAGAGTGGGTTCACTTTTTTTTTTTTTTTTTTTACTGCTGCAATAGGTCGACCCAGATGAGGTAAATGCATTGGCTCAATTGATGACATGGAAGAGCGCCGTGGCAGATATTCCATATGGGGGAGCAAAAGGAGGGATCGGATGCACTCCGAGGGATTTGAGCACGAGCGAGTTGGAGCGTCTAACTCGTGTCTTCACTCAGAAGATTCATGATCTAATTGGCACCCATACAGATGTTCCAGCTCCAGACATGGGGACTAATTCTCAGGTCATTCATATTTCAACTGTATTCCCCCCCTTTTCTGTTGAAACTTAATTTGTCTGTACAGTTTTCTGATGATGGTTCTGACTGAGATTGGCTTATGTACTATGGTGATTATTCCGACAGACCATGGCGTGGATATTGGATGAATACTCCAAGTTCCATGGTCATTCCCCAGCAGTTGTCACAGGAAAGCCCATTGTAAGTGGTAGTAGCTGAAAATGGTCTTTCTGGAGTTTGTTAAGGACTAGCTTCGGTAGCTATGTATTTGGAAAACATAATTTTAAGAAATCATGTGCAGTGTAGATGGATTTGTAAAAATATTGTTCTGTCAGAATGCACGAACCACGATATCATATAATTGTGCATATGAGTCCTAGATGTATTGTCCTGTTCTCCAGTGCTCTCTTACAGTCAAATAATTGTGTTTGTGGATGTCAGGATCTTGGTGGATCGCTCGGTAGGGAGGCTGCAACAGGTCGTGGGGTCGTTTTTGCTACAGAAGCTTTGCTGGCTGAATATGGGAAGTCCATTGAGGGTCTGACTTTTGCGATTCAGGTAGATGACACTTCGATTCTGAAGGTCTATTGTTAGAGATTTATATTTGAGGGATTGAAATGAAACTGTAATCAATGGGAATTTCTGTGTAGGGTTTTGGAAATGTGGGGTCATGGGCAGCAAAGATCTTCCATGAGAAAGGTGGGAAGGTTATAGCAGTGAGTGACATTACTGGTGCAGTTAAGAATCCAAATGGAATCGACATACCTGCATTGATCGCGTTCAAGGAATCCACTGGTAGTTTGTACAACTTCCCTGGTGGAGAGTCTATGAACCCTAATGAACTTCTGGTGCACGAGTGTGATGTCCTTGTCCCTTGCGCCTTGGGAGGAGTCTTGAACAAGTATATCCCATTTCCTTGTCCTTCCACTCTTTTGTTTTTCCATGTTCAGTTTGTTCTTAACCAAACCTCCGGTGCTGATCAAAATCTGGTTTGGCCTTTTGCAGAGAAAATGCTACTCATGTAAAAGCCAAATACATTATAGAGGCAGCAAACCATCCTACTGACCCAGAAGCAGATGAGGTCAGAATTATGTTCGTTTTCTTACTTTTTATACGGTTCATCCATTGAGGGATGAACCTTAAAAGTTTTGGATTTTGCTTCTGATAAATGAAGAGTTAATGAAATTCCAGATTCTATCCAAGAAAGGAGTGATTATACTTCCTGATATCTATGCAAATTCTGGAGGTGTTACTGTGAGTTACTTTGAGTGGGTTCAGGTAATAATAGTTACAGTTTGTGTGGGATGTACATTTTCTTGGGCATTATTGTCCCCCCTGAGGACCAAGTTGACAAATAAGAAATCTTCCAAATTTCATTTGTGCAGAACATTCAAGGATTTATGTGGGAAGAAGAACAGGTGAACAAGGAGCTCAAGAAATACATGACTAAAGCCTTCAAGAACATCAAGGGCATGTGCCAGACACATGAGTGCAATCTTCGGATGGGGGCGTTTACTCTTGGGTTGAACCGGGTTGCTCGAGCCACCCTGTTAAGAGGATGGGAAGCATGATTGCAGTCCAAGCTTCTGATTACATTTTTTTACCCCCTACCTTTCCTTGGTTTTGTTTCCTGAGAATGTGGTCTCTAGTGGTTGAATCATGTGGATTTATATTTCAAGTAGCTAGCTTTTTTAAGGTTTCATAGTGCAGTTAAACACCTTCCAACTAGACTCTTTCAATAAGCATTATTGTCACCCTGGAAGTTATTCAATGAGTGATTCAAATCAATGCCAGATGATTTTGCTTTAACTGGTGAGCTTTGTTGACTTTTTCTTGAACATTACAATATGGGGGAAAAAGCTTATAGCCCATACTGTTTTACTGACAGAAATTGCAGGTGCAAAAGATAAGTTTCTTTATCTTGCACAGCATGGGGGCTTGTGTTCACTAACCGATTCCCCCTATCCTCTCCCGCCAGTCCTCACTACCAAAAGACCAAACAGTAGTAATCCAAACAAGAGAAAAAGGAACCTTGGTAAAATTCCATGGCTTCCATTGCAATATCTGCATCTATACACAGCGCTTGCTGCTGCAGCAGCTCGCATCATGCTACAAAGAAGCACCAACCTCCATCCGCCCATGCCAGGCCAAAAACACATTCACTGGCTTCAAAACAAGCCACCCATGTTACTACTGTAACAGTTGATGGTTCTCAAAAGGGTTCAAGTCCAGCAGCAGCCATGGCTGAACAGCCTGCCTCCCACTTTGTGGTGCCAAAGGTTGACGACGACACTGGCAAAGATGCAGAGGGACATGGGTCAGAAGCAAACGCAGAGTCGGGTCGCCTGAAATTCGTGGATGAACGGTGGAAGAAGGGAACCTGGGATCTTAACATGTTCGTTGATGATGGGAAAATGGATTGGGATGGCCTGATTACTGCTGGTGAGCGATTTTCAAGTAATTTGCTACTATTTTGTGACTGTTGAGTGCATCTTATGGAGTTCAGGATTGTCAATCTGGTTTTGCAGAGGCTAAAAGAAGAAAACACCTGGAATTATTTCCTGAAGCAACAAGGAACGAAGAACCCGTGGTCTTCAGGAGCTCAATCATTCCATGGTGGGCTTGGCTGAAGAGATCGTATCTCCCTGAAGCAGAGCTGCTGAATGGTTTTGTTTTTGACTGTCTAATTCTTCACCTAAAGCCATAGTTGGGTTTATTGAGTTTTTAAGCAGTTACAATATGTAATTGTTGTTGTTGTGGAACAAAATTTGCAGGACGAGCGGCAATGATAGGGTTCTTCACGGCGTACGCGGTGGACGGTCTGACCGGGATGGGTCTGGTTGGTCAGACCGGGAACTGGGTCTGTAAAACGGCTCTGTTGGTGACGATTGTTGGAGTGATTCTGCTGAGGCGTAGTGGAGATTTGGTGAAGCTGAGGAAACTGGCGGATGAGGCCACGTTTTACGACAAGCAGTGGCGGGCGTCCTGGGAACAAGAAGAAGAGAAGATCTAGACTCGGCAGTCTGAGTCGCGGGTTCCCGGCAAGATCCGGAGCTGATGCAAGAAAACGGTGTACTACTCTCTTGATGTGATGCTTAATGTAAACTAGGGTAATTTTGGAACTTAGAACACCAGATCAATTTTGATGCAATGAAATGCACTGAGAATTGAAGCACTCTTGGCTAAGCTATACAGAGTCTTTACTCGTGAATTGTTATCCGACCGTTCGGTTGGACCTAGTTTGATAAGAGTCGACATCACAGTCGGCTACTAGATAGCCGTCTAGCAGAGATCAAGTTTTAGAGAAATGAACTTATCAAAATCGATCAAAACCAAGAAAATTGGTGCGGATTGAATTGACATGCTAGTGGCTCATAGCTTAAAAACGTCGATTGCTACAATGAATCAGGGGAAAACAATTACAAATCATGAGAATCGATCATGTGAGAGGAGAAGTCTTCCTCGATCTTCTCCAAATCGAAGCATAGCGCCCCTTGCGAGACACGAGAAAAAATAAATCGCAAGAGAGGAGAGGGGCAAAAAAAAAAAAGACAAGGATGAAGATGGTTAACTAATATGAAGAAAGTGTCGACTATTCGCTCGAAATCATTCCGATCGCATTTTTATCGAACCGACCGAATACCCACCACCTCGAAAGAAGAGAGGTAGTTGAGATAAAATCCAAAAGCCCAAAAAGAGGAAGGAAGTTAAAGAAGGAAGAAGAAAGGAAAAAAAAAACCCTGCAAATATATAGGCTTTCCTTCTCAATTCCCCACTTTCCTTTTCCGGCGTCTTCACTTCAATTCCCGTCTCCGTAATCGCCATTTCCATTCTCGTCTTCTTCCTCCCATCCAGGCTCCAACCTACCAGCTCTCTGTTTCTTCTCATTACCATGCGGTAGCATTGTAATTTGTTCTTCTTCTTCTTCTTGTTCAATTTTATTGTGCACTGTCAACAAACAAAGTGCAAAAGTGTTGAGACCGTTCCTGCAGCCAGCTCGCTCCCGATGCCTTCCCTCCCCGATTCCCCAACTTCGCCTCCGTCCCCGCCTCCGGTCTCCTCAGCCAACGACAACTCCGACGCCGAGCGCCGCCTTCGCGAGGCGGAGGAGCGACTCCGGGAGGCCATCCAGGAGTTGCAGCGCCGTCAGCGGAAAGCCGCTCGTGGGCTCGCCAATTACCCTCCCTGTGATCATCCTCCCGATGAATCCTGCGTCGCCCATGCCATCGGCAACCTCTGCCAGAGCTTTCTCCTCTCCTACGGCGTCCGCGTCGGAATCGGCATCTTGCTCCGCGCTTTCAAGCTCGCCAAGGGACAGTCCTACTCGTCCTTGCTCGATCTCAAGGTTTTCCTTCAATCCTCTCTTCTCGTTTATTCGCTCTCCCCACTATAATTGCGCACTGATCCACTGTTTTGCCTGAATTTCATATGCGATTGGAGGTTTCTAGTATTTCTATGTGCAATTTGTGACGGCGGTTGGGAATTTCTCTGTTATTGTATGCAAGTTGATGGAGGGGGGAAATTATTGGATTGTGGGGCGGTAGTGTGTGAACTCTGAATTGGGTTTATGTTTCTGGATGGGCAGCAACTAGTTTCAGAGAAGGATCTTATCGTAAGAGAAGAGGCATGCCGAGTAGGTTTGCTCTTTGGTGGATTCACGGGCTCTTATCATGCACTTAGGTGCTTGTTGAGGAAGTGCAGAAAGAAGGAGACCCCTTGGAACGCGTAAGTAACCGATCTCTCTTTGTTCTGTTTCCTGCAACTGTTGGGGGCGTGATGGGGGCATATTCCTTATTTTGTGACATTGTTTTAAGGGGATGATTGGAGCAGAATTTTAGCAGGTTCGGTTGCTGGTTTGTCGGTTTTAGCGTTAGATGATCCCAACAGGAGGCGTACGCTTGCTCTTTATCTTTTGGCTCGATTAGCTCAGGTACATAACACATCCCTGTACTTGAAGTCGTTTCTACTACTGGGGGGTTTTTATAATTTCTTTCCAAGTTATTGCTAATCGTACGCCTCCGGTCATCAGTGTGCTTATAATTCTGCTAAATCCAAGAACAAGTTTCACCTTTGGGGTAGCCATTGGAGACACGGAGACACATTGCTCTTTTCTTTGGCGTGTGCCCAGGTATGTGCCGACAGTTGAATTGAACATCCTTTGAAGCACTGATCTTCATATTAGTAAGAACTATGTGTTGTAATGTGGTTGGTAATTCTAGAAATAGGACTGGAATTTTTGTCCGAGGTCCCCTACTCTTCTCACTTCTGCTTATTTCCGTTTCCCACGATGATTTTTCTCAATGTCTTGCTGTAGGTTATGTATTCCTTTGTAATGCGCCCGGAGAGCTTGCCAAAAGCATATCACGACTTTATTCAGAAGACAGGGCCAGTTGCACAGCCAGTCTACAAGGCTGTAAGAGAAACTTGTAGAGGTGGTCCTGTGGACATTGCTGCATTATCCGCTTATTTATCTACTAAGGGGAAGCTAAACCCTCTGAAGTTGGGAGAAGCCCCTGCCATCATCCCTTGCTCTATTATTCATCCGGGTACAGATTCGTGTTTAGTTCAACACGGGAATGCAGCATCAGCTACATTCAGGAAAACATTTCCCCTCTACTTCTCACTGACTTTTGTACCGTACGTTGTGCTGCACTTGCAAAAGGTACATTATTTGACTCCATTAACTCCTTCCTTCTCTTCTACGGGTGTGCTTGTTTCAGCTTGAGTTTTTTTTTTAAGTTCTAGTTAGTGAAGATAAATGTTTTTTATTTTGGGGGGGGGGGGGGGGGGAGGTTAGATAAAGTTGTGTTTGTAAGATATGAGATGTTTTCTATCAATAAAAGAGTAGCTGATGAAATGATGGACAATTTCTTTTATGACAAAGAAATGGTGATTGTTGGGATTATGAGTATTAATGAAAGAGTGGATTTTTATCTCAAAGGGAAGAAGTTGGATTAGAAAATTTATTACTGAGTGAATTTTATTTTTAAAAATTTGTGAGATTTGAGGTCAATAGCTGTTTTGAAAAGTTTGATTGGAATGTGTGTTTGCCTCACAACTCTTTGGTCAGTTTATTTTTAAGTTATCTATTTGTTAGCTAAAACAAACACTCCCATTGTTTTCTGAAAGATCAGTGAACAAGTGTACCTTATTTGTTTGTTGATGCCATTGATATCCTTTGAAGTTCATGGATGCACCTGCACGGACATGTTGGCTTGCTCTGAGGGATGCTGTTCGCTCCACAACTTTCTTGTCTGCATTTGTTGGAATTTTTCAGGTGGGCATGCAGTCAAAATTCCTTATCTTCTTTCCCCCTAACTGTTGTACATGATCTTATTAGTGTGTGTTGGATGGTGCTAGAGTGTGATATGTATGCATAGGAAAGTTGCTGTGAGAGACCACAAGTCGTTGTACTGGGTAGCCGGTGGACTATCGGCACTTTCTGTACTGTTTGAGAAAAAGTCTAGACGTGCAGAACTTGCACTGTATGTCCTTCCTCGTGCTGGAGATTCGTTGTGGTACATCTTAGTCAACCGCCACCTACTTCCTAAGCTAAAGAATGCTGAGGTAATTATAGTTTTTATGTATAACTCGCCTGGGTTGTGTTTTCATCTTGTTAGAAAACTAGTTTATTTAATGAATCGTTTGAACATGAACGATGGGTTCTTTAAAATGTTATCTTTCGCCTTACAATCGAGAGATAGATGATATACGAAAGGGTTTAACCATTTAGATGAGTTAGCTGCGCTTCTTGTTTATCTGCACATTTATTCAGCCATGGAAGTCAACTGTTTTGATAGTCTTTTGCTATAACTGAGTAAGACATACTGGGTTTGTAATCAATGACGCAGGTAGCACTCTTTTGCGCTTGCATGGGAGGAATAATGTACTACCTTGAATACGAGCCAGACACAATGGCTCCCTTCCTCAGGGGTCTAATCCGACGATTCCTTGCGAGCAGAATCAGCAGTCCGAGCCCTTCACCTCATCCCCGTGCATCGTCATCTTATACATATTTGCAGGCTCTGGATTCGGCAGTGAAGAAGCCAAAATCCCAGGACGGCAAAGAAGTTGAAGCGTTGCCTCATAAGTACAATCTGGAGTCCATTCCAGGGCTCTGAAAAGCCAGCATTCTGGTGTTTTTTCAACCACCAGACGGTCTCTGGCGGATATCAGTTCATTCTTTCTACAATTCATTTGAGTTAAAGAAAGTAAAGAACCTTTTTGTAATCGAAGCAGATTCGAATGTCTGCTTCAATCACCCATTTAGTGTCATCCAGCTACTGTTTTTAAAGATGAATCTGTAATCCTCAGAAGAACAGGTTTTCATTTGATGAAGTGAAACTGGAAAAGGCTGTAAGCGCAATAATAGGCAGAGGCAGTATGTAAATATTTTCTGCGGGGTTGAAACTTGAATAGTGGCCAAAACTTTTATGAACTTACCAAGGCATTCATCTCTGAAGCGCTCTAACTTATGGCATTTAAAGCACTCAATATTTTAGGCCCTACCTTTACCTTTTGCTCTGCCATGGGAACAAGGTTGTTCACCCGCGGGTTGATCTGCTTTGATCTGTATGCGGTATTGCGGTAAGGAAAACGTACACCATGCAGTTTTAGGTCGCTCCACAATCATGTTCGCGAGTTGGAAGTCACAAGTTGTCGTTCATTTGGTTTGTGAAATGAGCATTTTTTTCTCGATTTTCTCTCTTTCATAACTCTTACTTTAGAATTCTGAGTTGAACATCTAAATCATTTTTTCGACTTTCTCTTTCATAACTCGTTTTTTAGAATTTTGAGTTGAACATCTAAATAATGAAATTATATTAGTGTGTGTGAATTTTCACTATATATTGGATGGATAAGAATTGTTATTTTGCTATAATGTTAGATGAAATTTGATATAGTTTATAAATGTATAAGCAATATAAATTTATTTTTTATATATCCGAGCTAACCGATTAGACCATTAACTCTCAACTCACTTATTCGACCGGGCCAACGAGTTAAACCGGTTGAAAACGTCGAGCATTAGTCTATAGGTTTGAAAATTTTACTTGACGGCCTTTGGTGGGAAAATCGCTGGTCGGTTCGTCCCCCGACTCTTCCTCCTCGACTGTTGCAAGCGTTTTTAAGCTCGCCGGGCTCCGTCTCCGTCATAGTAACCACTTGCCAGCCCTCCGTCTGCAGTTGGAGATGTCAGACGAAAATGGCTATCGGTTGCCTCATACGGCGCCCTCCAAAGTCATCTCTCAAGAGCAGCGAGCTCGAATTTCACAAAACTTCAGAGCTGCCAAGGCTCTTCTTGCTCGGAAACGGCCGCGCGACACCACCGCCGTCGCTTTCCCTTGCCAGTTTTCTCCTCATAAGTAAGCCCGACTTCATCTTGATTTCGAATTTCCTTCTTACGTCATTAGGAGAAACTGCTTGTTCTTGGTCATTTGCTTGTTACTGAACGAATGAACGATTGCTTTAGCTTCAGCCAGTTCCGATTGAGCAGCAGTTAGTGTTTTTTTTTTTTTTTCTTTCGATTCACAGAGCTAGGGAAATCGAGACTGCCGAATCACCTGCTCCAATTAGTACCATAAAGAGAGTTCCTCTTTCAGAAATATCAGCAAACACTTTATCTGCGGTTCATTTTGGGGGCATAAACTCTAAGCTAGAAACGCCGGTGCGTAAGCCGGAGCCAGTCTCTGGGACGGTTTGTCTTCCTTTGGTTGGTGAAAGTGCTTCAGAATCTTTTGTGACTCCAATTAAACAGCAGCTAGAGTGTTCTGGCTTCAGCAATTACTCATCTATTACTTCTACTAGCCTACTGGATGATGAATTTGATGAATCCGTCCTGGAAGCAATCGATGCTATATGTGAACAAGCTTCTGCTGCAAAAGATAAGGAGACTACGATTGGCAGTATTCGTGTGGACAACGAGCGCGGTGAAATGGTCTTAGGAGGCCATGGCAGTGTTTGTGCTGTGGCTATTGCTGCCAATGGGGACGAGAGGATGGGAAGTGTGTTGGACTCGGGTGATAATTCTGAATCCATGGAGAGTGATGATGGTAATACGTCGCAGACCATGTCGTGTGGGGAAATGCCCAGCGAGTACTGCAAGTATTTGAAGTCTTTGAATGACAGACAAAGGGAAGCAGCTTGTAGTGATATTTCAGTCCCTTTGATGATTGTTGCTGGTCCAGGAAGTGGCAAGGTATGCTTCTGATATGTTATGTTTTGAAGAGTTTATTTCAAATATTGCATGTTGCTTTTCGGTGATTTAATTCGAATTAGGAGCTGAATTCTCCGTTCTGTGGATTCTGAGGACAGACTTCTACTATGGTTGGTCGTGTTCTGATGCTGCTCAATAAGGTATTGCTCCTTACTGTCACTGATGGCTTCCTGTGTCTCTCTCTCTCTCTCTTTCTGTCTCTCTCTCTCTCTGAGTTAATGATTTTTCTTGTTTATGGTTATTGATCCTCTAAACTTAACAAGGGTATTAGTCCGTCGAACATTTTGGCGATGACTTTCACCACAGCTGCAGCATCTGAGATGCGAGATAGAATTGGAGCAGTAGCCGGGAAAGCCACAGCTAAAGAGCTTCCTATCAGCACATTCCATTCATTTTCCTTGCAACTTTGTAGATTGCATGCTGAGAAGTAAGTGCAATCAATCTCTGCTGGACGTGTAGTTGGTACTTAGGCTTTGCTGCTTGGGTTGAAGCTCATCTTGCATGGTTGTTACAAAATCATGATTCTTGGGCCATAGTGTAGGTTGGAGAGGACTCCAGACTTCTTGATATACGGTCATAGCCATCAGAGAAGGGCAGTCATTGAGGCTATCCGCTTACTAGAGAAGGAAAATCAAACTATCCAGAACAATGATTCCTTGAAAAGTGCTGAAGATGGTAATCTTGGTCCTGAGTGTTTCAAGGATACATCAAAGAAGTGGCTCAAGTTTGTGACTCAGGTTAGTGCAGTAAACCAGTTTATGATAGTGTGCTGCATTCTGGGGTCTTTCAGCTTCATATTGATGATGTGAATTTGAACTAGCACGTTTATGATGTTGGGTCAGTGCTGCTTTCCGTTGATAGTTTCATTTGGCTTCACTTTTTTCTTTCTTTTATGTCTAGGGAGGGACTTAAGTGAATCTTTAACAACTGCATAGTTGTTTATGGAAATGTTGTCCCCAAAATGGCCTGTTAGTTGCCCTATTCCTGCTCCAGTCTTGCAGTGGAATTTTCAAAATATGGTATTCCATCCTTTTGATTACAGAAGACGTATGTTGTGTGCAGTGGATATGCGATTGAGACATATCTCATCTTTGTGCTTCTAAAATGTTCATTTTGTTCTGCATGACGATGAGAGTAAAGAGTGTCTTTCAGATGCATAATTGTTTTGATGCATCCATTTTCAGGCTAAGGCTTCAGGAGAGTCTCCTGCAGATTATGTCAAACTGGGCAACAAGACAGGAGTAAGCTCATAGACTCTGATTCCCATTCTACCTTATTGTTTTTATTCAAAATGTGGTGGTTCTTAGATCAATACTAAATCAGGCAGCCATCCTTGGGAACTACAATGACATATTGAGATCCTGCAATGCTCTGGATTACCATGATTTGATCAGCTGTTCTGTAAAGTTGCTCACCAATTTTCCCGAAGGTTTAGTGTTGAACAAAATTTTGTTTTATTCACTACAAAATTCGTTCAATTGTTGGTTACTAATGGTTTGTGTCACTTTCAGTGTTTAAGGAATGCCAGGATTCGTGGAAAGCAATCGTGATTGATGAGTTTCAGGACACAAGTGCTATGCAGTACACTCTTCTGAAACTTCTAGCATCCCATAATCACATAACAATTGTTGGTGATGATGATCAGGTATATTGTATATATGCTGTGGTCTTCAAGTCATAAGTTTGTTTGCTTTTGGCTCTATTTGGTTCTGAAGTAACATATTGTAACACCCTCTCAACTTTGCAGTCCATTTTCAGCTTTAATGGAGCTGACAGTTCTGGGTTTGATTCATTCCGCCATGATTATCCAACCTATAAAGAGGTCTATTGTGTCCTATAGTTTGTATGTTTTGTCTTTTAATTATTTTCTTATAAAGTTTATCTATGATTGCACTAGTATTGACATGGTTGAACATCATTTATACAGATTCGACTCAATAAGAACTATCGATCGACACGCTACATTGTTGAGGCTGCCTCATCACTTATCAAAAATAACATCAGACGTTGCCAACTTAAGGATATCCTAACCGACAATTCTTCCGGATCTAAGGCAATCAATATGCAAGGGTTTCTAAGCAGATAGTTATAGCATTCAGTCTTTCATTTCTGATTCAAGACTGCCATTAACCTTCCCATCCTTTTGACAATGCTCAGGTGATCATAAAGGAATGTCAGAATGATGAAGCACAATGTAATTTTGTTGTTGACAAAATAGTGGAAACTGTATCGGAGGCCACATCTGACAAGCCTTCTTATGGAAATATAGCCATTCTTTACCGGAGACAGGTGAAGCTTCCTTGCCAAAGCAATACAATGTACTAATAACAACTAGCTACTGGCTACATTTATCAGGTCCATTTTCTATATGCCAGGTATCAGGAAAACCATTCCAAATAACATTTCGTGACAGGAAAATACCATTTAATGTTCATGGCGTGGCCTTCTACAGGAAAAAGGTTGTCCCATCTTGCCATACTCAATTTCATTTCTTGAGTCCTGTACTGCGTTCATAAGGGAACTCCTGGTGATACTCTTATTCTGGCTGAAGACCTTCTCTCTCCTTGGTCAACAGGTAGTCAAGGCCATTATTGCTATGCTGAGGACCACAATACCTGGTTGTGATGATGATGGGGCATATCGGCAAGTCTTCAAGGCTTTGCTTCCTTTTGACAAGGAAGAAAAAAAGATGGTACCATTTGGCTCATTTCACTCTTGGGCTTATGATCATTCGAGTATTAAAAGGATGCTATCTCTCAGTGGTTGATTTTTCATAGTATGCTCGGCCATCTACAGGTTATTGGTCACATTGACAAAATATCAATCACCAGAAAATGCCCCTTTGTATCTGCAGCCCGTGACATCTTTACTGCCAAGGTTTCCGGTACCTTTAAGAGGTTCTCACTTCCGTAAAATTTATTGATTTTAACTCCTAAATGATCCAAGTCTAGTGGCACATAAGATTGCTCCCCTACCCTTCTAAACCTCTCATATTATGCTGACATGGTCAATCGTATAATTTCTGTAGGAGCCAACTCACCCAGGGACGTAAGGTGTTAACAACTCTAGAGATGATATCCAAACTCATTCATAGGGTAAGCACATTTGTTCCTCACAGGATAGTTTCTCAAAAGCTAGGCTGTATGTCTGTGCAAGGGATCTTTTTTCACTTTTAACAAAGGTCACATTGACACGGTTTCTGCTTGATTTTCAGGAACAGTCAATTTCAGCTGTCATAACTTCAGCAGCTAACATGGTACCTCAGGTTTGTACCTTCTCGTCCACCCTCCCAGTCGGCTTGAGCAATGACTATATTTGACTAAAATTGTCTGATATCACCTCAGAGGCATGACAATTTTTGCCCATTGATGTGACATTTGTAGAAGTACCTTCTAGAGCAAAGGGCGGTGGTAGATGTTGACGGGGGGAAATTGCTGAATGAAGACAATGATATGCGATCTGTAAGTATTTCATTCTTGTTTGACCGATTAAGCAAGTCTGTATGTTGGATATCTTATTATCTATCTTAGAACACGTTTTCCAGTAACTTGAATTATTCAACAAAACTGCTGTTTCAATTAGTAAGACAGAGATGACTCTTTATGTTCATTATTGGTCCTCAGTGGCGCAGCTTTCAATTCCACTTTTAAATATGAACGAAAGGCTCGTGTAATTCATTTCTTGACGTTTGATTTGAAGTAGTTACCATTCTGATTTCATATTTGACAGGTTCTTCAGTACTTGCTGGATGATGTTACTGATTTCATGTCCACACCAATTGCTAAAAAAGAAGGGAGCAGTGACAATACGATGGAAGAGAAGGGTTGTGCTAAGCAGCTGAAAGCATTTCTCGAGTACGTAGCAGAGCGGGAGAAAGAAAACTTCCGCTCTCGGAGACAAGATAATAACAATTCTGTTACCTTGACCACTATTCATCAGGTGAGTCATCAACATTCCAGCCTTCCTACGTCCCTCTTCACCGAATGCGATCTCTTCTGAGTTTCTTGTTTAATTTCTCATAATTTTCTTGTGCAGTCAAAAGGGTTAGAATGGGACGTGGTTTTCATAATAAAGGTACAGTCTGATATCATAAATTCATAATAGTTTTGGGGTCAAGAATTTTAATACTCAAAATGGGTAAATTTTTGGCAATAATGCTTGTGCTGATCACAGGCAAATGATTCAGAAATCCCTTTGTTGTATGAATACAATGGCGTTGCAAAGGAACATGGCAATTCAATCGAAGTAAGTGAACTCATCTTAAGGCTGTTGTGTGTCTGTTGCTCACTGACAGAAATATCAACTCGATTGGCAATCTATATAATATGTTGTAGGAGGAACGCCGTCTGTTATATGTGGCAATGACTCGTGCCAGAAAGGAGCTCTTCATTCTTTACGTCACAGTGGATTCCAATTGGCAGGTTTGATTTTTCACCAACTGTTTTCCAGTATATCTGTCAACTTGTTGCTCTCAACTCACAGTAGGGACTCTTACCAGATGCTGCAACCATCCCGGTTTCTCAGGGAAATTCCGAATCATCTTCGGGAGATTCAGGTGCGGTTGAATTTACCTGTCGGAAGTGGACAGTTTTATTGATCTATTAGGTATACTGACTGTCTCAGAATTGGGACGCTTTGATGACAGGCAGATGTCTGTCTTCAGGACTTAGAACCAAAATGTCCTAGAATCCCGAAAGTCTCCGGCAACTCTGCTGATGGCATTACAATTGAGAAAGGAAGTTTTGAATTTGACATGAAATCAGACAAACCCTGTGATAAGATTCAAACTGATTCAGCTTTGGAGGAGACGATGGAAGCAATTGAAGCTCACAATTCAAATGGGTTCATAAAGAGGTCTCCACTCCCAACTCCTTCGAGACAAGAAACCAAAAATAATTATCAGACTTTATAACTTCCCTGCATATTGACTTGGCAAAGTAATGCATATTGTAGATTTGCTGTGGAGGACAGGTCAGTGGTTTCCCACATATTCCATCAATGGGCAAAGAAGCAAGCCTTTCAAACTCCCAAAAGGTTACTTGACAAGGTACAGCCTTTTTTGTTGTCTATTATCAGGAGTAGTGTGGTAACTAGGAAATCTGTTCAAACAAACACACTACGATTTACAGGTGGGATTTGTGATTGATGAACGCTTGAGGGTGAAGAAAACCAAGCACAAGGTCAGGCTTGCCACCTTAATGTACTCTGAACGTTCCGTACAATACAAGCATATATATAGTCTCAAACTCACTAGTTCCTCTTTGTTTCAGGATGTTTTGCAAGGCTTGAAATCTTGTTTGAGCAGCGACGAAGCATTTCAGTATGCAGAATATGTAAGGCTTGTAAATTTAATTATCTTTCCAGATGAGATGCTCTGTGCATTACGCTCGGCGTTTAATCTTCTGGGTTGGTTCACTCTTGAGTAGGTTCTAAGATGGGAGAAGATTCCAGCTGACAAGCGGGCTCATATTATGCGAGAGAAACAGGTTTCAAATGCAGCATCCTTTCTTGCAGCTCTTATCATCATACTCTAGAATGGCGCGGTTGATTATGACTTACGAGCGATCATCGGCTAACATGAGCTTATTTTGCAGGAGCATTTCCAGAAATTGAGGATCGAGAAGTCCATGAGTACATCTGCACCCACACCTAAGCAGGTGAAATATTTACCATTTCCCCTGGATTTCCATCTAAACGACTCCTTCCAACGTTTGTAGATTGCTTATCTCCGTCTTCTTCTAACCAGATGAACATTCTTTTGAAACTTTGTTTGTGTGCAGATTGCATATCTGCAGAACTTGGGATGCACCACGTCTCCAACATCACGGCTTCATGCCTGCCGTTTGATTGAACAGTATAAATCCTTGTGAAGCTGCTGCTGCTAATCTATTGCTCTCGAGTGTAAGTTTAGAAATCTACCCATTTACGATTTACCATCCCCTGGATGTCTGATAATTTTAAATGACCCCTGTTGTTGGAACTTGCTTTGGCCAAATGACCTCACTTGGGTTACATAGTTCTGCAGTTGCAGAAAGAACCATTTTGAAGTATGATTGGAGAAGCTACTCTACCACTGCCATATTTAGTTGGTTGTGGCTTATAGTCGTCGTATTACGCATAGACTCCTACATATGTTTGTATCTTGTGTTAGTTTCTGGCCCACTATGATACTGATGATAGTATCCTACACCATTATCAATTTATCATACTAGTGGGAATATCTAATACCACAACAAAATCCGAACCCACCCTACACGACCCAACCCAGTCAACGCGGGCAAAACTCGCTTTGACTGGTTTCGGGGTGGGTTTGGGTTTAAACCTGTACACTATTCACCGGGTTGGGTTTGGGTTTAGGGGTACCCGACCCATGGATATCCATCCACGCTTATTTAGTCGCCCTACTCTCCCCAAACCCTATCCTAATTCTAATTCTTACTACACTTATTCCGTGTGAATTTATTTAGTGTAATTGATTTATATTTAGTGTAATTGTGATATGTTTGAATTTTCTAGAATGGAGTTTTATGTATGGATAATTTGAATGGGGAAATTATTGTTTGAATTTTATTTTGATAGGAACTTGTTATTGTAAATTTTTTACCACAAAAACCCATGGGTACTCATGAACCCGCGGATACCCAGCGGGTTGGGTATGAGTTTTCCAAACCCGGGTTTTTTGACGAATAAACCCATAGGTTTGGGTTTGGCAAAACCCGACCCAACCCGACTCATTATCATCCCTAACCCAAAGAACGATAACCTCCCCCTATCCACATCTTCAAACTCCACATAAACCTCAATCATTTCAATATCACAATTTTCTTCCCAAAATTCAAACAATATTCGTACTTTCATCATCTATAAGTACGAATTCTACATGTTGAATACCATAGTTGTTAGGGTAAATACAATTTAATATCCAAGCCTTTTATTTTAAATAATATAATAGCCAAACCTTTTCGAAAACAATTTAATATCCAAATCGTTAACTTTATGTCTGTTTGCCCGTTAGTTGACACTTCAAAAAAGTTCGAAGTACGACACTTCATCAATATCCATCGATGTCTTCTCTGAAAAACCACCAACATATCGTAGTTCCAAACCCGAGAAGTCCATGACTCCACCATGATGGTATAGAATATCTAAATATTCAGTCATCTGCAATGCCAAAACAAGAAACAAAGTTGTATTGTGACAATTTCCCCTAAACAAAGCTTTTTTTAAGTGTCAACTAACGGTCAAACGAACGGAAAGTTGACGATTTGGATATTAGATTGTTTTCGAAAAGGTTTGACTATTATATTGTTTAAAATGAAAGGTTTGGATATTAAATTGTATTTACCTTAGTTGTTATCCAATAGGTCATTTCAGATATTGTTCGATGATTCCTAATGCATTTCTCCAGTTGTTATATTTGAGAGTTCACGCCATGTAATTTTTCCTGGATTAGTCATCTGCTTAGATTGACAACCTTGATATCAATCCCTTTCGTCAAATTCGTCAATTCACCGTCCCAACGAATACAAAATGTGAATTTTCGAACCACATTTATAATTTAAAAAAACTAGTTAGAACACATACGACATTTGATATTATTCTAACCCCAATTCATGAAAAGTTCTAAGTTACACACCTAAGTTAACATAAAATCTAATCTGTAATCTAAATTTCATTCATAATCTGCAACGAAATTAACATAATCACGTCAGCAGAATATTGCCCGTTCGGAGAGCGATATATCTCATGAGACATACTCTTTATCACCCCGTTTAAATGGAGACATTTACCTTCCCCACCAACTAAGCAAAAATCCAACTATCTCACCCAAAAAAAACCCCAACTATATTGAGAAATTGTTGTGTAGTAGTGCTATTTCGGATTATTGTTAAATGTTTGTTTCTGGAGAGAAAAAAAAAATCCTCGAAATGGAATGTTCTGTGGCCCAACTAACTTTACACTGGACCATAGATCTCCCGCACAGTTCCAGAACTTGACCCAACACCAACAGCCAACATTCCTATCCACTTTTTCCAGCTGAAAACCCATTTGAGACACAAAGAGGAAAAGAGAGACCACTTTATTAATTAGTCATCTTTACAACAACATTACCTGTTTCAGCTCGGCTATTCGTCGAGATGGGCGCACATAGCAACAGCCAACAGATAGATGAATACAACACCACATTCTTGCCATACAAACCTCACATTCTTCAATCAAACGGGTCGATTCGCGGGTCGTGCTCGCTCGCCATAGCCATACCAGTGCATAGGCACGTAGGGCACATCACTTTCCCCGACCCGGAGCAATTCGGGCACCTTTCCGTTTTGGGTACCGACAGCGGTCTTTCCCCTTCGACTGTCGTCGAAACTGGTTCGATTAGGACGAGGGTTCCGGTGTTTGCACATCGAGCACAAGCAAGATACCCTAGTAGGCGGGGTTTCGATCCATTTGTCAGGGGCAACTCAAGCATATACATGGTGTGCAGAATGGTTGAAGAAATACATACCAGTACCAATACAGTATTTGCATCTCTTGTGCTCCTGCTGCTTCACATTGTTCACTTCCACCACCATCAATGCCGAGATCACTCCAACCGCTCCACCGGAGAACGATGCCACGATCGGATCCACCTGACTGCAACATTTTCCCACAAGATACAATGATAGCGTCATAGGACTAATCCTCCTCTCCAAGTAAGGAAAGTTTCGCAACAGGCGGATTACTATATACCTCAACTGCATTGGCAGATGCATACTGGTAATAAAATCAGCATATGTGGTGCCTCCTAATCCCAGCTTCAGCTCCAGCTGAACATGTGTTAGGAAAAAAATGAGACACAGCAACAAGTTTTTAAGGATTGAGAATCAATGGGTAGCAGAGTTACAGTGTCTTACAGCTGGGGCTAAGAGGCCGCCGAAGATTATGATCCCGGAGATGAGAGTAAAGCAAGTGCCATAATACACCTTAAGGTTTGCTGCAGTCTGTTTGTATTTTTAGTACCACCATGTCACAAGCAAGCGAACAGTTAGGGTCACATTTCCTGCCCTTGTGATTGTTAACAGGAGAAGAGCGAGAATCTTTGATTTTTACCAGAGGAGGCAAGAAGGGGATGAAAGAAGGGAAATCAGGGAGGTCGGCCTCCGGTTTCCCAACTTCGGCGCGCTTGATCCGCTGCTGTATCCTCAGCCGCCGGACCTTGTAGTTTTTTACCCGATTGAAATACCAATTCTTCCCAATTTAATCGCGGCGACGAATATTTTCCAAATTTATTCAGCTTTACCTCCTCCATGTGCAGGAAGATCTTGTTCCTCCGGCTCCGAATGTTGTCCTGAATCTCCTGCAATTCCATCTTGTCGAAGTCCTGCACCGTCTCCGGCCCTTCTATGATGCAAAATCTGCAAACCCCAATTCAATCAGTCAAGTCAACGGTACTAAACCGACCGCCGGAGGAGCAGAATTTACAAGGGAAGGGGGAAAGTACCCAGCAGCAGCAGAGTCGGCGGCGTCAACGGAAGCGGCGAAAGTCGAAGGCAGAGAATTAGGAGGAGGAGGAGGAGGAGTGGTATCGGATTCCGCCGCCTTGGATCGCCATCTGAACCTCGAATTGTGATCCGGCCGAGTAATTAACCGGCCGGAGCTCCACCGGCGAGGAGGCGCGTGAGAGCTGGTGCAGGGGAATCCGGCGGGGTAGGAAACCGCCAGAGCCCGGGCCAAAGAAACCATCTTTGGCCGCCGGCAAAGTAAGAAGAGGAAGTGGGGAGGGAGCTGAGCTAAGGAATGAAGGAAGGAGTAACCAACGAAAGTGAGGAAAAGGGGGAAAGTGCAGAATGCCGACGACGAACCAGACCCAAAAAGGCCAAGCAGAGCATCTCTTCCGTTCTCTTAAAATAGGATCTTCTACTACTGTTAGTCACAAACTCTCTGACAGAGTGACAGTAGATGATTCATATCATTGTGGTCCAGGGAAATTCTTCAGGACCAAAGGACCATGGTTTTTTTTTTTAACTGTGACAGCTTAATGGGTTGGAACTTGGAAGTGAACAGAAATTACTACATTCAGCTGGAACTTGGAGTGATGCTTTTGTCCGGTTCAGATCTGTTTTTCTCTTTTACTGGTCGCCTTGTTCTGTTCTGGGTTCGGAAGATGCTTTTTGGGGAGTTTCTGCTTGTTCCGAGGCGGAGATTCCTCCTTCTTGGTGTGATCATCCTAGTAGTGATCGCATTCATCGTTTCCCCTCAGATGTCGCTAGCGTTTTCATGATTTTTGCAGCCTTGTCGATCATCTGATTTGGGTTGCTTTGTCTCTTCCGAATGTCGTGGTGGGGGTTCTTGACTCTTTGAGTTTGGGGTTCTACTTTGGGTTGATCTGTTTTTGTGTTTGTGGGTGGTTGGGGTTGGTGGGTGTTGCTTCTTTGGTTGTTTTCTGGGTTTGGGGTGGTCTCTTTTGGCTTTGTGTTTCTGCAGGTGCGGATCTTGTTGGTGGTCTCTTTTCTTGTGGTTTTTTGTGGGCTCTTCTCAACCCTTGGTGCAATCTTACTCTGTTTTGTCATGATTTCCTCTGCTGCCGACTCCCTTGCCTTTGTTTCAGCTCCGAGAAATCTCGTACAGTCCTGTCCACCGCCATGTAATCTCTTCGGTGGTTCACTGTGATGGGTCGTCTTCGAACAACTCCCAGGAAGCGGCATATGGTGTTGCAATGTTCAATTGCCATGGTCAAGCCTGTATTGGACGAGCTGAAGCTGTTTCTTTGAGCTTTTCTGATGAATGAGGAAGCATTGAGTTGGTTTGGATGCTCTGTTTTATGGTTCAAGAAAGGAATGTCTTTGGCTGGTTGGATCTTGTTTTGCTTTCCTCTGTCCCGATCTTTTCCTTCGTTGTCTTGGCGAGCTCCGCTGGCTGTTTGTTGCTGTTCTTTCTTGTTCCATTTCTCTGGATGTTCTCCACTCATTGTAACCGATTTCATTTGATGAGCAATATAAGTGTTCCTATTGTCAAAAAAAAAAAAAAAAAAAAAAGCTGGAACTTGGAGATGACAATCAAACCCGCAATCGTACATATTCGATGCATGCATGATTTCCATTTACCACATTACCATTTACCACTAGATCAACTCTTGAGATTGTTCAAACTTTTGTACAAGCTCGGACTAGGACATTTATGGTTCCTCATCTTGGCATCATGTTCCATATTTACAAAATCATATCATAATAACGGTTCAACCGAAAAACATCATTATTAAAATTCGAACCAATACATAATTTTAATAATATAAAATAATTAGATCACAATTTCAACATAAAATATCGTATTAATGGAATTTCTTTACATACACCATCTACTCCCGAGCTGAGGGTGGGGGTACTGACAGAGAAGTGCTCATTTATTGAACATTTAACCTTTGCTTTGGGCATTGGCCCACTTTCAGATGCATGCATGATTTCAATTTGGATAAATGGTTTGAGTTGAAAAGAACAGAAGATCAATCTAAACTCATACCCAAACAAAGATTTTGTGGATATAATGTACAACAACAAATTATGTACACCACTGGAAAATAACAGGATATTCCCCCCGTCGAATGTCGCCATCTCAATAATGATTTCTGTTTGATTGTGTTGTGTGCTACATGTACTACTAGTCCAGTATCTAGTAATGCTCTGTATTATAGTGGAAAATGCTCTTATTGTTGTCAAATCAGTTTATATCGTTACGTTGATTAGGCAAATGGTATGAGTTGGCCGATTTTTAATCGATTTATCTAAGTTCATGCAAGTTTTTTGCAAAATATGTAGGAAAGTGTTACATTATTAAGACTAAATGAACTAAGACACATATACAAAATATTTGAAGACAATCTCTCTAAAATATGTATCCATATTTAAATAAAATAAAACACTTCAAACAAAATGAAAAATTCTCATATTTAAATACAACATTTAACGACAACACCCATAAGTTTATACTTGAATCCAACAGATAACATAAACATCTAAACATTCATTCCTGAACCCAACAAATGACATCAACATTTAACTTTGAATTTTAAAAAATAGTTCATTTTTTTTATTAAATTCACTGGACGTCATTTTGTCTAAATATCGAAAATCGATCATGTCGGTCGTACCGAGGATATTCTAGTTAGGTTTACAACTAGTACCGTTGAATCTGGTTGTACCGGCCAACATTACCACCAACATGACAACCATGCCCTGTTGGCTAAGGATGGCAAAAGTATCAACACCTGTGGATATTCGCCAGAATTCGACTTAATCGGGCAGGGTAAAACCCAAACTCGGAGGATTTTATGAAGGGTATGAGTAAAACCCGAATATGAATATTGCGGGTGATGGGTGAAAATGTTTTTCTCTATATCCAGCCCGAACCCTTCCGATTATACATATGTGTATGCACTTATCTAAAAATGGTCTTTATTCTTCTCATAATATTTGATATTTTCTATATACATATAATATTTTCATCAAAATGTGTTCTCTTCAACTAATTTTCTTCATTCTATAATTTATTGTTGTACCTTTCACTTATTTAATGTTATACGTATAATTGTTAACATTTATGCTGATGTTATGAAGAAAAATTACTATCCATGATTATCCCAAAACCAATAGAGTATGAGCACGACATAAATTTTCTACCTAATTTTGAATGAACATGAATATAAGTATAACTTGAATTATATCGAATAGAGGGCTGGGAAAATAGACCAGACCGTTAGAAAAACCGTGGTCCAAACCGTACCGCACAGTTTGGTCCGGACCATAGACCGTGAAGTATGGTCTGGTCTAGTCCATGGTCTGTATTATTTTATGATTTGATCTCTTTGTCTGGTCTGGTCTAGACCGCGGTTTACCGGACCAAACCGTTGATCCAACTGACTTGTCAATACGTGTTAACAGCCCATTCGACCACTCTCCAAACTCCCACAACCACACCCAAGTCTCAACCTTAATTTTGTGAATCTCTTCCCTCCTTCATTCACAACCACATTTAACCACAGAGTGGAGATAATCGTGTCTCCATATGACATTATGTTAATGTTTATGACATTATGGTGCAAGCTGGGATGCTTTTACTTTGTATCTTTGTTATGTACTAAGATTTAGAGTATCAAAATTATTCATGCATATTAGGAATAATGTTTTAAGGCAAATAACAATTATTTTTCTTGGTTATTGGTTCAATTTTTTGTGTGATTGACTAAACAAATTATTCATTTTTCGTTGAGTGTGGTCTATCTGGACCAGACCAGATAGAACCAGACCGCACAGGCGTGGTCTGGACCAGACCGTATAGTCTGTGGTCTGGTCTGTGGTCTATACTTTAGCCTCTCGGTCTGAACCGTAGACCGTATATATGGTCTGGTCTGGACCAGACCGTACCGTTTCCCAGCCCTAAATAGATCAATGGATTTACATTATGCACCTCCAATCCAATGCAATCCAATTCGTTGTCATCTCTACCAGTATAGTTCACTTTCAACTGTATGATCCTGACCGTAAACAATAATTTCTTCATGATATAATACAAAGTCTCCCATAATCGTTTCGATTATTAATATGAATTAGACGCTTGTCGTCGACTTTCATACAAAAAAGAGTCCACTCCCAATTGCAATCGGGAGGAAGTGAAAAGGGCATGACTAGGAATGGCAATGGGGCAGGTCCGGGGCGGGTTTCTTGGTACCCAGACCCGCCCCGTGGCAGGTCGGGTCCAGGTCGGGTAATTGATCACGGGTCGGGGCAGGTCGACCCAATGGGTATGCAATTTATATGAAAACATTAGAAATATTCGTTATTTTTATTATAAGACTAAGAAAACAAACAATATTATGACAATTGTAGTTAAGTTATTGGAGAAATTGAGGTTTTTACTAATTTAAAACTTTATTATAGCTAAAATATGATGCAATAAAAGGAAAATTCTAAGTAATTTGACTAAGATTACATTTAATTTAGACAAGAACGGGTCGAGAATGGGGCGGGTCGGGTCGATAAGACTACTCATACCCGTCCCGGCCCACCTACGGGAGGTCGGACCCGCCCCAAAACAGGTCAAACAGATCGGGTAAAACGGGTCAGGTCGAAATTGCCATCCCTAGTCATGACTTAAAAAAACAAGGGGCCGCATGAGAGAATTGATGGGCCGAGAAAAGCCCACTATTCCTGAAACTGGAGTTTCAGTTTGCTTATTAAATCCTTAGCCTGGGCTTGCGCGACCGTCTGTTTGAGCCCAACATCAGAGCGAACCTCGGAAGAACTGTTGGACGCAAAACCCTAGCTACTCTGCTATAAAGACAAATTCCCCTGAAGCTCTCCTCAGCCGCTTGAATCCCAATATCTCATCACCTTTTTCTTAGCTGCCCTCTTGAACTGAATCTGCTCGTTCTTCCTCGTACTTTTGATTCAGTCAATTCGTTTTTCAATTTTTTGTTGGTTTTGGAATTGGGGAAGCTTTCTGAAGGAGGTTACGATGAGGATCCACGCTCCCTCTTCTGATTTTAAATTGAGGAAATCAGCTGGCAGAATCGAACCTAATATCACCGCCATCACTGAGTATCCTCATTGGCTTCCTCAGTTCTGAAATCTTGAGAAAATGGTCGTGATTTGTTTCAATTTCGTATTCTTTGGTTTTCAAAATCAATTGGGTTCCTTCCATTGTCGTTTCTGTTTTCAGAATTTGTTTGAGATGGGGATGAAGCATACATATATCACAATCCAACACTTGATCTGATGGGCAATTGATCAATTGTCAAGTGATGTTAAGATATTTGCTTGCTGAATCTCTAGTAGTTTATGAAAATCAGAAAATTATCTCTGGACAACACGGCCGTTTGTTTCCATGACGGCCGTGGATGAGAGCAGCGTTTCCATTATGATTATGTTTTTTTTTCTTCATAAAAATGTCATCTTTCTGTTTAGAATGGAAAATGGTTTCTGGTTTTTTGTTT